TGAAATTCTTATTATTACTAAGTCGGATTTTCTATTCTTTTCTTTTCTTTCCTCTCCTCTCCTCTCACAATTTCCCTTCGACAGTTCACAAGATGAATTGACAATTGTCCGATTGAATTTAGCTTATGTGATTGAAAATATGCTCGGATTAATCCTCCAATGGGTTGTAATTTTTAATTCAAAGCGGACTATCTGTCAGGTAGGGGAAAGTGAAGTGAAGTATACCATTTTGTCTCTAATTCGCTTGTCTAATAATTAATCTATGCTTATTGTGTTTATAATCGAACTTTTAGATTTTTCCGCCGATTGACTGGACCGAAGTGCTCGGTCTCAGGTTGACATGTCGGCCTCTTGAGCAGATGCTTCGACAATGTCTGGGCATTTAATTAGCATTTAATTGGTGGATGGTGGCTAGCAGTGGAATCCAGGGTGCGCATTTCAACCTATTTGGGACTCGTCATATTGCCCAGACATCGTTGAAGCATCTGCTCAAGAAGCCGACATGTCAACCTCAGACCGAGCATTTCGGTCCAATCAATCGACGGGAAAATCTAAAAGTTCAATTAAATCAATATGACCTGTTGCACAAGAGGTGGCTCTCGTGGCTCAAGTGGTCTGGTGGATAACGCTTTGGCGTTTGAAACTATGGGCACTGGGTTCCAGCCTCGGTGGTGGGAACATCATCCGGCTGACGAGTCCCAAATAGGACGAAAAGCGCATCCTGACTGGATTCCACTGCTAGTCACCATCCACCAATCAAATGCTTATTTGTAATTAAAAATTGTGTCATTTGAAAATATACTACTTATGTGATGATGATAACCTGCAATCTATTGTGAATGTAATATAAAAAAACAATTAGATCCGAATTGTGAAAACATTGATGTGATTTTACAGTCAGTGCTTCCATGTATTCCACAAACTAGACGCTGACATGCGCGAATGGATAAGCAACATGGAAGCTCTGACAGGTAACGAACCAGCAATGAACCTATTGGTCAACAATATAGGCTGCAGGAAATGGCGATGAACTGGATAAACTCCGGGGGAGATATTCAAGCAGGCATCAGACACCATGCAGCAATCCAGTAGGAACTCGATGACAAACGACGAGCTGGTCGTGCGTCTGGTGGTGACATGGAGGTGGTTGTGTTAAGAGATGTTTTTATTTGTTGACCATTCATTGAAGTGGCATATGCAATGCCATCACTTCTGAATCCTAGTCTTATTGAAGTCATTGAATGATAAAAGCGCGTAGTCTTCAATTTTAGGGAATCACTTGGCGTTACAAGAGATTTGTTGAACAGGAGGAATCTAGAAAATCATTTCCTCTTTTCTTCATGTCATAAAGTAGAGACTCAGCGTAGACTGATTCGTCTAGTACCAATAAATATGGCTATCGAGGCAGGCAGTCAGAAACGAACTCATTTCTGACCAAGAACTCGAACTTAGGACAAAAGTGCCACTTGAGGAGATAATGCTGGGAGTACAGCTATGCCTAACTTCCACAGTATTTAAATTTCAAGGGAAAATATACAAACAAACTGAAGGAGTTGCTATGGGATCACCAATATCTCCAGTTGTAGCAGATATATTCAAGGATAGGTGGGAAAAAATAGCGATTGAAACGTTCATCCCCACCTCAAAAGTATGGTGGACGTATGTAGATGACATATTCACTGTACTTAGAACACAAGATGTAAAAAGGTTTTTCGAACAAATCACCTCGAAGGTAGAGCCAATTCAGTTCACTTATGAATTGGAAAGTCAGGAAGGGGGAGCTTCCAATGTTAGATTGCAACGTAAAAAGGAAAGAAGATGGGAAGTCAAACACTAGTGTTTACAGGAAACCCACATATTCGAACAGATATTTGGACTTCCGATCATTCCATCCTATGTCAGTAAAAATAGGATTGGTGAAATGTTTAGGTGACAGAGCACAAAATCTAAGTAGTACCAAGGAAATTCTAAAACAGGAACTGATACACATAAAAGATGCTTTGAAACTTAATAATTACCCGGATAAACTAGTCAGGAAATATGTAAGGAAATGTGAGAATAAAAAAATTAATTATAGTAGTGATAGTGCTAATAATAATATTGATGACGACACCAACAATAAGGAATCTAAATCATCAGTAGTAATTGCATACAAGGAAGGAACCTCGGAAGCCTTACGCAGAATTCTTAACAAGGCAGGAATAAAAATGGCATTTAAACCCACAAACTCAATTAGAAACAAGCTTTGTCGGTTAAAGGATCAATCCTGTGGAGCCTTTAAAACAAAACAATTTAGTTTATCTAATTCCCTGCCTGCAATGATTGTCAGGTCAAATACATAGGTCAAACTAGTAGAACAGGGGCAGTCAGACTAGCTGAACATAAAAACTTAGCAAAATCTAGATTGGTTGACCCGAATAAGATAAGAAATCTAGAGAATAGTTCAGCTATATCACTCACTACATGCAGTTACACACAACCATACAATAGGATGGGATAGGATGACAGTTTTAAAATCTAATGTCACAGGGTATAGGGAGAGATTGGTAACAGAAGCTTTGTTTATCGAATCAACTGCAATACATGTAATAGGAATGATTCATCACCTGTCCCAGATATCTGGAAAATTCTACTACACCTACGACAAATAGGAGAAAACAAAGAAAACTATAAAACTCAAGTGTCAAAGTCGTGTGATTACAATTGATATGATTATTAACCACAATAAATTTTGTTCGAAGTTGTGTCATCCAGTAAATAATACTGTTTCACTGTGTGATACATCTAATAAAGAAACTAATATGGAATTGATTCGTCTAGGGTTCGCTTTTCTTATAGACTGAGTAACCACATAACCTGAAGTGTCTATGGGCAAATAAACACAGGTGTGTTCCTTTGTAGGTTCTTCTGTTTCCCTATCCAATGACGAATTCATTGCTATTGAGGATGAATATTCCTGTTAGGACTGTGCCAGTTGATCGCTGTAAGTAGTCTGAAGTTACATCTGGAACTGACATCGATGACAAAACCATTAGAAACTACGGAGCACTAGAATCATATTTCCTCCTAGATTAGGACTCTGTCTCGGATTCAATCTCGACTGGGATCCAAGGTATCTTGAACTGAAGAGTCAGAAACACAGACGAAACAACTGTTCACTACTCCCTGCTTGTTTTCAAGGGTTCTCTGGCTAATTTCAATCAGAAAGCGTCAACATCTGAAACGTAAATAAACCAATTATGACAACATTTCTTTCAGAATATTCTTCTACAAGAATGATAAATATTTCTTTATGTAAGGGAAATATGAATTCTCTTGTGTCGAATTTCCTATTGTTTGTTTTTTTCAGTTTCTTGGAGGATTACAATACTTAATTATTCTCATCGAAGACATCTTGTTATTCTTAATGTCATTCAGTCTTTACCGGTTGATTCAATCGCGTGCATTCATTCCTTATGTGAATTTTATCATTAAAGTGACTATCGGTATGTCATTGTTTTTTTTTTTTTTCATAATAATTTTACTAAGAGTTGGTCTCCAAGGATTTCTTTGGTTACAGGTTCAATCATGAGGTGGTATCAGTTGGAGAACCTCTAGGAAAGCATTGATTTTTTCCTAGTTTGGGACTCCTCACCTGTACACACTCACCAGGTTTCGAACTCAGCACCTTCCAGGTACATTCATCCATTTACTCATTCTTTCTGGGACCTGTTTCAATAGCCCATTAACTATCAATTCCTGCTAATTCTCGACCACAACAACCAGACAGTGTCGGCCTTGGTGGACTATGCTGGTTAAGACTTCTCACGCCAGTGGCTAGCGTGAATTAGAATAACTGCCTTGTATCCAGAAAGTCCTGGGTTCCAACCCTGTTTGTGGTTGCGTACTGAAGAAGAGTTCCAAACTAGGCGGACGAAACTGCTGTCCAGTACTCTCTGACAAGTTTTCCAATGCTCCTCTAACCGATGTGAGCTCATGAGGAAATCCTGTAACCAATCAATCAATCAAATCCCTACAAACCAATACTTGAGTAGCAAATATTATTGATTCAGTGTTGTAACGTATCGATCATACTTATCGACCCTAATTGATTTTATGCACAGTTTTGTTGATAAGACAGATTTGTAATCTATGGTGTTTATTCCATTACATTCCTAGTGGAACATAGGGCAGCTTCAACCTAGAGCTTTGAACTTTCGGTAGCATTCGTTTTATTTTTACGCGGTGGGGTTGCTGGTCTCACGCGCGCTTCCTACCAGCTTAGCGAGGTAAAGGAGTCCGTCGGTGGCCGGGAGTAGAACCCCCCCCACACACACACAATAGGAGACTAGCATTGGCCAGGATTCTACCACTGAGCGACCAATTTGTAATTTATTTTTTTTCCTTCACGTTTCTCAGTGGAACATACGGCTTCAAGCCAGTGGCTTGAAGTTTCTGTAGCAGTGTTTATTTTACAGGATGGGGTTGTTAGCCTCATGCCCAACCTTTCCTCTTCACCAGTATTATTTCCGGCTTAGCGAGGTGAAGGAGTGAGTTGGCTGGGGATCGAACCCCGGACTCTGTGCGTGGTCGGCAAGCGTCCTAACCGCTATGCCACCGACGCAGTTCAAAATAGGGAAAATCAACTTTTTTTAAATAGTTTAGGTAATTTAAATAAGTGTGACCAGACAGCTTGTACTTAAATAATGCTGATCTATAATGTCATTTATCAAAACTGAAGAAGCCAGCAGTAAACGTATCAAAAACTTAGAAATAGTTGTAAGTTAGGGGAAGAAGAAACGTAAGTAACAAAAGGAAAACGAAAGAATCAAAAAAGCAGTGTAGAAAAATGTCGCTGCTAGACAACAAGCCAATATTGTTGAACGAATTCCTGCTAGACAGTTAAATGAGTAATTTCTAACAAAAAGTAAGTCCAGACTTGAATAAATGGCAATCTTAAGAATAATCCTTAGAAACGAAAAGGAAGGAAATATATGCAAAATAAAGGTAGCCAGTGTAAGTCAATATTTAGGGAATTTCGGTTTTAGCAAAAATCGATTTTTCACTACAGCAGGCTGATTAGAGACGCTCCTTGTCAAGGTGTTTGATTTAGAATTTTGTTCATCCTTACTTGTTGATGCACCAGCAAGTAAAGCTGATAAGTACGGACGATGAGAAGTTTTTGGAGTTATCAGCATAAATGATTCTGCATCACCGGGAAACAGATACTGAACGGGCTGAACACGACCCAGAAATCGAATCAAGGACTGTTGAACTTTACGACGCTGTTCAGCTACACGACGGCGTAATAACGCTGGATCGGGAGCTATTGGTGCACGCCTAACTCGTGTGGTTACAAAGGTGTGTGATTCAGGTAGTGAAGGAAGCTGTAGGTGTGCAGGAGCTGGAGGTGGTAAAGAAGATGACAGTTGGTCTGAAGCACCTGAACTAAAAGTACATGTAGTTCCCATAGCACAAAGACGAGGATTACCCGACCAATTAAGACGTAAAGACAACGGTCGAGGAATAATTGTTATCCTACCTACACCCAATACTGCAGAGCATGAAACACCTTTCTTTTGTGAACCGCCAATGGCAACAGGTTCTTTACATCCTCTGTACATGCGTTTACGGGGGATTTCATTTAGGCCTGAAACATCAAACCCCAAATCTATTAATCCAAGTACGATATCGCTCAAAAGGATTGACGTTCTTCCAGTACTTTCAGCATTCGTAAGTGAAGAAACAGCTAAGTCTTCAGTAAATGAGAAGAACTGATTTCAAAGCACTATCAGTGCAGCATATTCAGTGGCTATATATCCAACCGACAAAGCAAGGTAGCCAATAGCGCCTTCTACAACATCCAGAACACCTTGTGGGCATTCTCCACCAGTCAACAGACGGCTAAACATCCCTCAAGAGCATTGCAGAAATTCTTTGTGGCTAAACACAACGGGAGAACACAATACGGTGAATTAACGCCCCAAGGTAACTCACCAAATTTTCTTGTCTATTTATTCTATCTGCTTTAGTTACTTTATTTTCCCCTTTTTCTATCTCAGGCTCAATGATGGTGCTTAGCACTTTCCTGTACTATTTCTTACACAATAATTATGTCAGCCTTAAGTAAGTCAGCATTTATTGAGATGAATACATGTCCAAACCAAGTTCACTTTTAACGGTTTGAAAAAATCTGGGAATTGGGTATATGATATTCATTATAATAAAGGTTTTCTTGTATTTTCCAATGAATGAATGAAAAACAAAACGATGTTGTTTTCACTGACGTTTCGCTATTTAATGCTAATAGCTTTATCAAATCCCTAAAGATTCTCTATCTAATTGTGTCTATAAAATAAAATGCTTGCTTGGAATGTGATGCGATATACATCGGACAAACATCTCGAGAAATCAAGGTAATCAGAAGAAATGAACACCGTAGAGCCGCCTCTGTTCGACCACCGACAAATCCAATTGAACTAGAAAAGCTTGAAAAATCATCAGCCATAGGTCTACACTCTTTAGAATCATGGCACAAAATTGATTTTGACAATATTGAAATAATCCAGAAAAAGCATTTCAGAAATCACAAAGAACGTTTAATATCAGAAGCAGTTCATATCAAATGGAATCCAAATAGCCAGAATAGGAATGATGAACTAAAACATAATCTGACCTGGTTACAACACCTCCCTCCTCCCATCAAGTGACAAAATCAACACGAATGTGATAAGCAAGTTCACTATGTAAACACACACTACTTTTATAATTTTACACACCGATCAAATCCAACAATCTGCTCACCTTGTTTTGTTATCTTTACCAATTGACCAACTTGACAACTAAAAAATGCCTCAGACAGACGAACGATGATCAAGTTAGTAAACTTTATTTTGATATCATAACAGATGTACTATTAACTTTGTTATTTGGTTTAGTGATATTCATTGCTATTTTTACTTCCAATATGTCCCCTTAACTTGACCTATGTCTATTTTCTAACCCTCTAACTGTTTGTTATATATATGCTGAGTGGATTTTGTAATTTCCGGTTTAATAATACTTTGATAAAGCTATTAGCAACAGCATTAAATAGCGAAAAGTCAGTAAAAACAATATCGTTTTGTTTTTCATTCATTGGGAAATACAAAAACCTTTATTATAATGAATACATTTTATTATTATTGTTCCCTTGGGTTCCTAGTGAAACATAGGGCTTCAACCGCACGCCTCCACTTGCTTCTGTCTTCTGCTATACTTTTCGCTTGCATCCATGTTAGTCAATACTGTTTCAGCTCCTCTTCACACGATCTCCTCCATGTCACCCTTGCACGTCACACTCTCCGCTTCCCTTTCGGGTTCCACTCGAGTGTTGGCCTGACGCGCGATGTCACCCAGCGGCCTACTCAGCGAGTGTCCAATCCATCTCCACTTTCTCCTGCATATTTGTTGGGCGATTGCTTCTTGTTTTTTTGTTCCCATAGTTTCTTGTTGGTGATTCTTTCAGGCCATCTGATCTTCAGTATAGAACGAAGACAGTTGTTGATAAAGGTCTGCAACAGGCTGTTGGAAATATTCTCTGTGACCCGCCAAGTTTCTGATCCGTATAGAAGAACTGACTTGACGTTTGTATTGAAAATCCGAATTTTGTCGTTGATGCTGAGTTGAGTGATGAGGATTTCCAGATTGTTTTCAGATTGATGAATGTGTTTCTCGCCTTCCCGATTCTCGATTTGACATCCTCATCCGTTCCGACTGCCTGTAGTTGAGACAATGCTCCCTAGATAAGTGAATGAAGTAACCTCTTTCAAATCCCTCCCGTTGATGGTGATTGGCGCTGGATGTTGCTGCTGCTGTTGTTGTTGTTGTTTGTTTACTTTCATAACCTCCGTCATGTCTTTGTTCACCTTCCTATGTGGCTTAAACTAACTGTTGTGGATTTCATTGACTGGTGCCATGTTTTCGTTTGACCACCGGTAGCTCTTTCCCAGCCTGACCTTATATCAGCTAACATTTCCCGTCGAGGAAGGCGATGAACAGGCATACGTAGCACATGTCCTAACCATCTCAGTCAAAGTAATTTCACAGTCTCGTCGATTGATTTCCCCTCCCACCTACCTAGCACTCACTCGACTGAGGCCTAACCTCAATATTGTTCACCTTATTATACTACTTCACACGGGAGACAGAGCGCCGACACCTATGACCAAAGACAGCTAATCTTTTTGATGTCTTCTGCTCTCAATGGACAGGTCTCACTGTCATAAAGGAGGACGGAGCGGACTGTTGAGCAGTACACCCGCCCTTTAGTTGATAGCCATCCGGATATCACATCTACGTCAGAAACGGCGTTGCTCAGTGATAAACAACTCTTAGGACAGAAAACGATAATAAATACAGCATGATTTGAAATACTCAAATAAGTATGTTCATAAGGAGATAGTAGTAGGTTGTTCACGGAGGGATTGCTGGACTCTAATTATTCGCCAACAGTTGCTTTCAACCACCCCCTCTCGAAATCACCGTGACTTTTTACAATAATCACTACAATGAACATGCTGATCTAACCAGCGCTGATGAAGTCACTAACTTCAATATGTGTACTTACCGGTGGAATAAAATACTCCAGCTTAAGGATGAAATCCTAATGAAGTATAATACTTAGAACGTTGAACAAGTTGTTGACTCATTCATATTTTGCTCAGCAGTGATCGACAAAGAACAATTTTAAAAAATATGGAACTACAAAAAGTAAGGAGATACATCGTGCTGAAGTAATTCTTCTTCAAGTATTGGTTTGGTAGGGATTTTGTTTAATTGTATGGAGGATTTCATCATGAGCTGACATCAGTTAGAGAACCACTGGAAAACCTGGGAGTACTGGACAGCTGTTTCGTCCTAGTTTGGGACTCTTCAGCAGTACGCGCCCACCGGGATTCGAACCCAGGACCTTCTGGTTACAAGGCGAGCTCGTAGACCATTGAGCCACTGGGACCCGATCCAATGGTCCTTGAATTCTAACTTCTGCCAATTCACGACATAGCGCGACCATTTCGCAATGTCTTCTTAAATGAGTTACTGTCACATCTTCAACCTGCTGTACCCTACTGACAGTAACTCATCTAAGAAGACATTGCGAAATGGTCGCGCTATGTCGTGAATTGGCAGAAGTTAGAATTCAAGGACCATTGGATCGGGTCCCAGTGGCTCAATGGTCTACGAGCTCGCCTTGTAACCAGAAGGTCCTGGGTTCGAATCCCGGTGGGCGCGTACTGCTGAAGAGTCCCAAACTAGGACGAAACAGCTGTCCAGTACTCCCAGGTTTTCCAGTGGTTCTCTAACTGACGTCAGCTCATGATGAAATCCTCCATATAATTCTTCTTCCTTTATTCCTTTACGTTCCCATTAGAACATAGGGTGTCTTCAAGCTACATGCATGAAGTTTCTGTAGCAGTCAGTGGTGTTTATTCACACGGGATGGAGTTCCTAGCCTCATGCCCAACCTTCCCTCTTTGCCAGTCCTATTACTGGCTTAGCGAGGTAAACGAGTACGTCGGTGGCTGGAGATCGAACCGCGGACCAACTGCATGGCTGGCGAGCATTCTACCGCTGTGCCACCAACGCACACAAAAAGTAACAATAATAATAGTCTTTAAGTTGCATATTAACGGATTCTAGACGTTTTCGCTCAATCTGTGACCACATCCAGGGGTGTGTGGACATACTCAAAGGCACACTTTATCATCGTAGTGATTCTTTTGACTTAATAATTAGGCAGGACAATTTAATTCACCACATGTTGTGTTAATAAAGTGTGAAGTTAAGCGCATAAGTCCCGCAAACAGATCCAGACGCATAGGAGTTATGGTATATCCAGAAGGATAGATCCCACTTTCACAAGTTACTTTTATCATCTCATATGTAAATATATATTTACACCTAATATATATGCATGTGCCCCCTTTGTCAATTTAACCTGTCAATTTGTGTTTTGTTTCTGCGTTGCTTTCTTTTTTTTTCCTGCCTGTTACCTTACCAAAACCCCAAGTTGCCTACCTGAACCAGTGACAATGGAATGGATTATACCATGCGTGCTTCTAAATATTTCAGTTGGAATTTTTCAATTTCTCTTTGTAAGTAAATGCCAGTCGAAGAAATGGGATGAATGGTTTGGTATAGTAGTTCTTGTCACCTTGAATTATATCGATTATTTTCTTTCATGGCATAATACGGATTCATCAATGCAGAATACTGTACAAATTGTTCAATTATACTTCTTTAGAATGATTCGAGTAAGTAAGTAAAGCTGAACAGTCAAAGTGGATTTTTAGTCAGTGTTTAGAAATGCCTATCACAGTCGGTAGCACATTCTAACTGTTTTCGTTTTTTCAAATTCAACTTCACAGATATCGATATATATATATAACCCTTTTTTAGTTTTGTCCTGAAAGCATGTTGGTGAGACTTCTGTGGAATATAGAGGCGTTGTTGTTATTATTATCCTATTGGATTCCTGGTGGAATAGCCACAAGGCATCATCAACATCACATTTGCATTTCACACTGTTCTCTGAAGATCTCTTCAGCTGGCTGAATAACTGTCCATAAGACTTGATTTCTTCCTT